ACACATCGATGGCGCGAGATTCTAAAGTTTTAGCTAAGGAAGCCTGCTGTCCTATTTGGCAAAGTGTTCGTACGTTAAAAGCTCCTACGTGTAGTTTAGAGCGTGGTTTCAGGAGACCAGGAATGGCGTTCCACGTACTCGAATCGTTTGCCCTAGCGGTGCGAGGTGATAAAGAGACGTGAGGAGGGTTAGTCATGGAGATAAGAGAGGTATTAGGAGGTGTAGGAAGGATTTGAATGTGACCACCTTGGTCTCTTGTGCTGTTACGGGTATGAGGGCTGATGTCACTTCCCGGCTGCCCACACCGTGGAAGGGTATTTCTTGAGGAACCTGAAAAGGAAATTGGATTAGTGTTGGTCTTGACGACCTGGGAGCGTGACCGCAGAGCCCAAGGGACAACTGCTTGAGGCCGGTCGCGCACGGCCTTTTTGTGGAAGGTTTTTGACGTGTTAGCTCCGTTCTTCAAAGGGCCTTACCGCCGGAGACGGAAATCCGTGAGGTAAGGTGAGGTGTGACATTTTTAGGGTCGACCTTTTCTAACCCCACCCCTCCTTGTGGGAAGGCAGCATCGCTGTCATGCTGGTTGTCCGAAGGAAACACCTTACTGCTGTCACACCCCTCTACAGTCAGCAGTACGACTTCGCCCTCAGACCTTGAGTTGCTGCTTTTAGTCTTACCGTTCACCAATCGACCTGCCTGGCATGGTAGAACCTACAGGAACATATGTTCCAGCCAATATAGCTCGGTTGGGTCATCACGATAGGCAAGCCCGACCACCGCGTCAAGGTAGCAGCTTCGATCGGGACTTCGATCGGCACTCAGTCGGACCGTGGTATTAGCTTTCTACTACATGTATCTATCGGTTGTAAAATTACGTAATATATATAAAAGATTGTTATTACCTCATGAAAATGTGATCGAACTTAGAACATAGTCAAAGTTTTTCAACTGACCGTAATTTTGAGAAAGAAAGGAAGAAGTAAGTAATTGTCTGTTGGTTATCTTTCGTTTATTTGAACACATAAATATTGGTACAAAGGGTCACCAAACACACATACGCACCACACAATAACAATGAGAATTTTGAAGAGAAAGATAATGTAAGATGCGTATAAGAAAAAGGGAGACAATAACGAACAGGAATTAGTGTATGATAGTGAAATAATAATAATAACGAGACAGTTAAGTTAGCAAAGGTACAGCCAGAAAGAATTCTTCCAGTTAAAGAAGTTGCGTCCATTTTTTATAAAGAAAGTTACAACAAGATCACCACTGGCTTCTATTCTGAGTCATGTCTGATAACGTCTCTTGCCACTGTGTTGCACCATCTCTCGGACCCCAACCGGAGAGTCGTGAAGGACTAGCAGATGCCAGTCCTGTGTGGCTTTGTTTCATCCCACGACACCATGTAATACACTGACCACCTCTCCGCTTTTTCCAACCAGTCCTAGCGTTGGCAAATAATGCACGTCGTGGAATTCTCTGGAATGATATTCGTAGAACATCCAAGCCACCGAAGTCGATGTTTCAAGATAGTGACACCAATTGAATTATCGTCTCTGTGCCCGAACACACGATGCTGAACGTCTACATTCCTAACATGGTGTTACCACTGGATGTCAGCAATCCTTCGGAAACAATGGTGATCAAACTCAGAGTCGTCTAACATCCTCAACTCGGAGAGGCCAGGTTTCACAAACATAGAGTAAAACTGCTCTCACCGACGCGTTGTAGATCCGACCTTTTACAGCCAGCCTGACATCGGGAAGGCGCCAAAGATGGCTCAGATTGGCGTAAGCCACTCTGGCTTTCATTATACGTGAATCGATCTCATCACTCACGCCACCACCAGCACTTATGCAGCTACCTAGATACACGAACTTCTCGACTACTTCTATCTGCTCACCACCTAGGGTGAGTACAGGATTAGAATCCTGCCAGTCTTGTAGAAGGACTTTGCACTTCGAAGGTGCAAAACACATACCATACCTACGGACACTGATTGCCAACTGATTAAGTGCGGATTTCATGGCTTGGGCATTATCGCACAGTAAGACAATATCATCCGCATACTCAAGCTCGAGAAGTCTCTACATGTAACAGATCTACACCGCCATTACTTACATCCATCAGGGCTGTTTCCAGAATGTCATCGATGGCAAAGTTGAAGAGGAATAATGAGATTGGGCAACCCTGCCTAACCCCACTGCTCGAATGGAACAATGGAGAGAAGTGGTTGTATGCCCTCACTCTGCCTGAGGTGTTTTTATATAGGGCTTTTAGGGTGTTAATAAACTTCTCAGGCACACCCTTCTTCAATAGACAATTCCAGAGAACAATCCTGTCCAACGAATCGAAGGCAACCCTGATGTCAAGAAACACTACGATTGTTGGACCGTGATACGTATGACGGTGTTCTAGCATTTGGCGGAGGGTATAGATATGGTCAATACATCCTCAACCAGAACAAGACCAGCCTGCTCCTCGCAGGTCAATCTTTCTTGTTCTTTTTTAACAGTCTACAAAATATGACGGAGTCCAGGCTTGAGATGCAAAGGGAGGACACCAGATGACATCGTTGATGACTGTGCTAATAGTTAGTGCTAGCCAGAATCTCGTTGTTGTCTGCGCACAGTTTCAGTAGATGGCCACCTAAACGACTCGCTTCTGTGCTTAGGCTCCCGAAATCAGCACTCAAGTCCTCCGGCTAGTACTACAGTACCTGTCGAACGCACATTCTGTAAAAAAACTTAACTGGTGGTTACTTAGCCCTCTGCTTCGGTTTGGGCACCCGGGCCTTCACGCAAATCGGATGATTTACATGGTGCATATCTAGTTGGTGCTTCCCTGTACCGATGTTTGTGTGCCCTGATACGGTCGAGGGTGGAGAAATTCCGCTTTCTTTCTTGAAATACTGTCACATGACCACACGTATTCAGCCACTGTCTGGGAAGTCTTACTCATTGCCTTCTCATGGCGGGGATGTTGTTTAGGAAAATGAGAGGACGAAAATCGAATTTCCGATGCTTTAACCGGGTTGGTGGGCGTGAAGGGTTCACCTAGGTGAATTAAAAAAACCCTGATTTCAAACCAATGGTGCACATGGGCTCCAGCGTCCCGAGGGAACAAACAGTGTATGAACCAGTTGTTGGTCACCGGCTATCATGGGACTGCATCTCCTGTCGTTGCTCTAATGCCTTGTGGATTAGACCCTTAGGTCGAAGGCTTGGGGTGTAGCCCCCTAAGAAAACCACCTGCTTCAGTCTGGGCTTCCGGGCAGTATCACAGTCCACATACAAATCAAATGAAATGACATTTGAGCCAGGCCGCATTTCCCGCAGTTGACTTTTCACTGGAAGATTCAGTCAAAACCTCAATACTAATTAATTGCAGCCATTAAGATATATCAGGGCGATGCAACTTACGAGCTTTACCTATCCAATTATTCTAAATCCGAAAAACTTTTCATGGGACTCAAACCTTGGGCCAGTAGCCCATGTTCATCTGTATTTGTTTTTTCAAGATGAAGTCCTCAATTCAAGCACGAACCGTTTCGATATATCCTCTGAATTACATATGATCTATAAGTAAGATCACAGGACCATAAACTCAATCCAACCAATGTTACCAAACCATACCAAAGCGAAGTTTATGTAATCACATACACACCATGCTCACAAATTAACCAGTGGAAAACAAAGCAGATTCATTGTCTACAAGTCATCTGACGCTTAGTTGGAGTTAGCAAGCTAGTTATTTTTAGACCCGTGCATGTATGTATTGATCCAATTTTCACCTTTTGTCATGTTTCTGGAATGCAAGCATTCTCAGTGTCTCTACAATAGTTGAATTTCTCGACCTGAATCGAGGATTCGTTCCTGTTGATCGGAAAATATTCGTCATTAAAGGTGTAGCAAAAATGTAAACAAGCCTTTTCGGAATTCTTTATACCAACTAAGTTGTCTGAGCCATAGCTTATGACAAACTATTATCGGAGCTGTAATGTTCACCTGGGATACCCAGTTTCTCAATTCTTACCTAATTCTTCGTTTAGATGTTTTGGGAATCGAACTTTCTGAAACTGATTTTTTCAGGGATTGATCTCTTTAAAAACCTATTCATCTTCTGGAGCACGCAGATGACATATACCTCTTTAGTGATAACGCTGATGAAATACAGAGTTATCTTGACGTTTTCCTTAATAGTTGCTTTCCGTTTAAATGCAAAATATTTGCTCCAAAGTGGTCTGAATCAACTCCTAGACCGGTCGTTGGAGGTGAAGTAGTTGAACTCACTGAGCACTTTACTTATCATTGAAATCTCGTTGACACTAGTGGGTTGGTAAGGAGGACGGATTCAGAAAGCGCACTTGACTTTTTTGGTTACTTGTAGTATAGATATGATCTCCATCTACCAAGGAAGTGTCGAGTACCCTGTGCACCAATTCACTTTTTTACTCTTTCCTGGAAGTTCTTGTTCACAGGTGTTTTCGAGATGTTACTCGTGTGTCGTGAAACAAATGAATAAACAATGCTAAGATTAAATGTTGGATACTAAAAAAGGTGTCACCTACAAATCTTCATTAAAGAAGGTGTCTGTGACATGTTTTACACATGAGTAACTACCCGTTATCTCAATGTTTAATGTTGATTCGATAAGTAGTAAGTTTTAAAGAAGTCAATTGAGACCGAACCTGGATGTGGCACTAATCCATGTAATCGTTAACTGTCAGTCTGATATATATTAGGAGTGTCAGACTACGTGGTTGGAGTGTGTATAGACATCATGATTAGTTTTTGAATGACCGATCAGGATTGGATGCTTGTCCGGATGCACTCATTTTTTACCTCCTATGTCTTGACATTCAGTATTTTTCCATAAATACACTCTTCTTGTCTTTTCTCTTTGAACTATATTCACAATGTCTAGTTTTTTTTCATTAACTTGGATTTTGACTAATTATTGTGCTGATTTGTTTTCTTTTGTTCCTAATGTGTATTCAGTACCGATTTCAAGTATAAACTGACCAATTAAGAAGAAATAGTTAATCTGTTTTAACTTGAATAATCATGTATTATCAATCGAAAGTGAAATGACTGGAGGCAGAAATTTAAGAAGATTGAAGAAAAGAGAACGAGAACAAAGAATAATAGAACAGTGAAGTCTGAAACGAATGATTGACATTTTACAAATTAAGTATTTACTGTATGGTTCTCAGATTTTACTAAGACGTTCTGTAATTTTGTGTTGAAATACAGTTGATTGTCCCCACTTGTGTTCTCGTTCACTACACTACGATAACTAGATGATATAAGCTTGAATTGTAAGTAATCGTTTCACTCTGTACTAGTAAGTTAATTTTCCTACTTTTGTATTTTTAGACAAATATGTTTATGACCTCCCTTAACTCGGATTTTGTTTTCTCCTTAGCACTTTACCTTCTATAATGGACTCGGAAAGTAAAGAAAAAATATCATTCAGCTCTAAAATCCATTGCGTCTATACATCAGTTGGTATTAATCATTTCTCTGGATGCAGTTCTATCATTGCTGTCAGGTCATCAAATAAGTCAACAGTTGGAACGATATTGGCATTCGGTTCTAGTCATTTTATATGTTTAGCTAAATCCTACTCTTATCTAAATGATGAAATGATTAATTTGAATACAGATTTTTCTCGAGACAATTTTCGTGTTTATCAAACGTTACCTGGTCACAATTCTGATGTCAGATGTGTACGGTGGTTGGACTGTTGTTTTCATAACAATGGTTCATCACAAGTTTATCAACACACTATGTGTTTTCTAATGTCGTCTGATAGTTGTGGTCTAGTGATAATTTGGGCCTGTCCAACTGAAAGTTTAATCTGTCCTGATGAAACAGAAAACTGGCATATAATTAATCAATTCCAGACTCCGAATAACTCCATAATAAATTCAATTGATGGTTACTTTTTCCCTTCATCGGAAAATGACCGCTCGTGCTCAGGGACGTTATTTCTATCAGCTGCAGCGGATACATCAGTTCATAACTGGTCTGTTCATATTTCACAGAATCTGCTTACAAATAAATCAATTTTATTACCATGTATTTTAATCAGTAATATCATACGAGTTCCATCACTTTGTCTGTGTCTCAGACGTTTTTGTATAAAATATAATTTCCAAACGTCCAGTGACAATATTGACGTATCTTGGCTTCATTTTATTGTTCTTGGTCTTGACAACGGACAGACAGAAATATGGTCAGGTCATCTGGTCAATGGTCAGAATGAAAACGTTAAAAGTCTTAACTTCACATTAAGCACTACCATTTCTGGGCATCAAGATTGGACTAGATGTATTGATGTATGTATTGACCATGGGCTGACATCCCCTTTGTACTGATCGTTACAGGTGGTCAAGACAATATTGTTCGAATATGGCGTTTATATTCTCCAGAAAACGATGACAGTGTAACAAGTCCTGGGCATGCGAAGGTATTCAGCTTTTAACAGTTTACTTCTTTATCCTAATTTAATGTAGTGTAATGGCGTGGTTATAAGGTTTATTTGTAATCTATAAGAAAGTTTCAGAGATAAAAAATCTCAGTTAATGTGAAGTCATTCATCTCATAAATTAGTAGTATTTACATTTTCGTTTTTTTAATATCCCCTATTTATAAAGCTTATGAAAAGCCTATAGTTATCATCACCATATTTTTGTATACCTTTCATGATTTTCAGTCCTCTTAAATATCCTACAAAGTGTGGTTACTCTCTAAATTATAGTGAATATATGAAGTACTTCAGCTGATTAATTTTCTTATTTAAAAGTTACTAAATATATTAACTGAGTGCTTTTGTATTGAAATTTAGAAAATTCGAGTAATGCTTTATCATTTGTCAAGTAAGTCTAAAGCTGAAAGGATTCTTAAATTACTCAATATCTGTATGTATTACTTGTTGAACGGGTGAACTTCATAGAGGTAATCAGCCTAACTTAGATTCTTATAGGACTATTGTAAGATATATACTCGTCAATTCAGAAGTGATGACTGCTGCATTAAATGAGAGAAAAAGTAGTGAGAAACTTTTAAAATATAGTCTTATAAGAAAACTGTTGTATCAACATGTATGTTTGTTGTAGAGCAGATTATTTTACACTTCTTACTATGCTCTATAAGGGAGATAAGCATCTGTGGAATGATTTGAGAATTTTCTCTCTACCCATTAATCCTGCCAGTTCCTTTCGTTTCGTTTAAATTCTGGTGGTTTACAGAATATATCTGTCAATCTTAAAATACTTCGGTTAAGCTACTTTTCAAACAGACGAAACTTTTATTCAAGATTTAATTTATTTTAATTCGGTTATGGAAATATTCTAGCCTATACAATATAGCTAGTCAGTTCAAAAAATTGGTTGGGCAATGCTTTGCAGAAATTATTGACATTCACGCTTTTAATATTTACCTATGTTTAAACTATCTGCTACTGTTTACTAATCAACTTTGTATTTATTGTTTATTAAAGGCCATTAGTCTTCATCTTCCTGAATGGTTTGCCACTAACAACATTTGTATGTGCGTAGCGCCAGAAAGTGTCTTAGCCAGCCATGAAAATTGGGTCACTGGTGTTCGCTGGGGACCAACAATAAACGGTTTATTCCCCCCTAATTTGCTTACTTGTAGTATGGATAAATCATTAATTATTTGGCAGCCTCCTAGTGAAAATGCTTTAGATTCATCGGATATGTGCAGTTTATGGAAAGAAAAAGCCCGGTTAGGACATTTTGGCGACACTGGATTGAGTCTAATGGACTGTCATTGGTTCCCCAACGACGGTCACAAAGTATTTGTACACGCCTTTCAAGTATGTTTGATTTTGTCTTATTGATATTCAGAGAGGGGTTTCGTGGATATTATAGTAATTTAATAATTGAGATCATAAATCATTTACGAAACCTCGCGAGGCGGGATCGTGGACGCGCACTGCCGAGGAGTCCCATACTAGAACGAGACGGCCGTTCAGTGCTTCCAAGTTCTGCATGGCGGTCTAGCTTCAGTTGACTCATGAATTCAATTTCAAAAAATTATTGATATTCGTTGTCTTTTTATGAAATTGAACTCTACAATTTCCTGATGTTGTAAGAATTTTAAATGGGTCCAATATTTAAGTTATTCTAAAAGACCAGACGATTTTCATCCATGATATGCTATCACTGCCTCAGGGTTATGTAAATAAAACACTAATTCCGTTAGTGTTATCTTGTTCTCTCTTTTAAGGACTACTGAAAGTGTTTTGGGATTTTAGAAAAATCAGACACGTCTACATTTTGTGCTATTTGTTGGTGTAGGTAAGTAAATGCAACATAGGGTTTGAAAAATTATATTTCGTTTGTAATATTCAGAATTCATTGCAACTTTGCCAAAGAATTGAGAGTGTTATCATAGTTAGGCATAATAATGGGGATACGAGGTCTGTACTTATAATGTGTTCAAGGTTTACAAAAAGAAAGAAGCAAACACATCAGTGCACCACTGTTGGGTATTGTGAGCCATCTTAATTAAAATCCGCCTCATTTTTCCTGCACATCCCAATTAAAGGGGCTTATAGATCTCTAGGCAACTCAAACCAACAGTTAGTTGATTTATAGATTGATGATATATATTGGTTTGGTTATCTCAAAGTTTTTCACAGGCCGTTTTTATAACCTCAGCGTCGCTCGCTGGTAATGCTTGAAGAATTTTTCGATCATAAAAAATTATCGTTTTTCTGTATCTTAAAAAAAGTATAGTTTACAGCTATTAATTTTATCATAGCTCACTGATACAGTAGACTTAGTCACAAACGAATAGTTATATGCTTTCAGGTGATCGGTAATCGGTATAAGAAACAGAACACTGTCTACTGTCCAAAACAAAGTCAGTGAAAATGATGAGAACCTTTTTCATCGTTGCTAACAGTCAAGTACATATAGGACACTTGCTGTTCTATAATGCTTATAGTTTTTTTTAGGTTACCCTATTAAGTCTATATTTCTTATTTCAATACATCATAGGCACATACTTAACATATATTAATAGGGATGAGGTAGTTTTGCTAGACTCTTTGTTTTTCAATCTATTCTAAAAACATTTCCTTGTCTATTCAAACACGTAAGACATGTGTAAACCAACACGTATTGGGTATCAGTCATATTACTCACCAAGTGCACTGTCTCATGCTGTAACAAGTTGTTATATAATAACCCTAAAGCCGTGAAAATCAAGTTTTTCTTGAGTTTTTGACTCCCGATTGTTCAATTCAGTTGTCTATTTATTCTGGTTCCATATAATTTTTCTTAGTCTTCCTAACTGACAAACAGTAATGCAGTTAGGTCATGACTCCCAGTCTATATTTTAGTCACTTCTTTGTATATCTATTTCGATTTGTCTAAAATTGGAAATGAAGCTAACCTTTTGAAATATTTTGTAATCTAGTTTCAGATTTTGCATAATAACATTTTTGTAGGGAAGTATTTCAGTCTGGTGCCGATCTGATAAAGACTTTTGGCTTCCAGCATTACCGTTAACAGGACATGTCGGACCTGTTGCTGATTTAAGTTGGATGTCAACATTCCCTGAGGAAAATTTTAAGGATGATGACTCATACACTTATCTTCTAACTGCAGGATTTGATCAAACAGTCCGTTTACATGCATGCCAACCAAACACCAGTCATGAAGAAAAAGGTATGTATGTTTCTTTATGTCATAATGCAATATATCCTTGAATATTGAAAGTGATTTTTTTGTGACCTTTATGAATGCTATGAATTGATATTTTGTTCTTATTAAACTGTATACTTAAATACTATTTGAATTTGTGAAAATTCAATCCTATAAATTAAGATGCCAATGTTGTTTACATAAACATGAAAAAATGGACGTGCTTAGGCACCATTGAAAGGATTATATCACTAGTAAAATGTTTATTAAGGTTTACCCAGTACTTTCCAACTATAAAATCTTATCAATGGATTGGTGCTAAATATCTTTTCCATTTATAGGTTTTGGAAGATAGGTTTGGTAAAATCAAAGCTGATTTATGCTTTTGGTTTATCCTTTTCACCCCTTGTTTTTGTCACACCAGTTATAAATGGCCTTTCATTTTACGTAACTTCATGAAGAACGTCTGCGAGCGACGGTACGGTGTATATACATCACATTTTTCAGGTCAACTCCATCTTATTGCTAGGTCGAAATTTATAAAAGGGACTAATTACTTAAAAAATCTGTAAATTTAATCTTAGTCGTATAAATCTACTAGAGTCTGGTGGAAATACTTATAATAACTTGTGGCAGGTTCTAACACCAATACTAAATAAGTTCTCATTTTAAATCTCGATTTCACTTGTTGAAACTAACACATTCTATGAATAACATGTATTTATATTCAGAGAATAACTCTTCAAATAATCCATGAATAACCGACTGGTAAATTTTAAAATGTATATCATCTCATGCTAACTAAAAGTTATCTCTCAGTTCTACATATATGATAACACTATCTTTTAGAACCAAATATTTGGTATACATCTATCACGTCAAGATAGTTAGTAGTAAATAAATCAAACACAAGTGGCCAAAAATGATTAATTTTCCGATTATTTGTTGTATAGAATATCTATTTTTCTAGTAAATTACTTATATTTCTTGACTAATGTAACTCATTCGTCAAGTACCGATTTGTGTACATGACTTAAAGCTTTCATTCTACTAGGTTTTCCAAATGCAATTTAGTCAACCATACGCGAAATAAAACCTGGCGTATGTGTATGTAGGTACAAGTTGCCACATTATTAGCATAACGAGATGAAATCATCAAGGCAAATCCCAGAGGAGTATAGGTAGTGACAGTATTAGTGGCGATAGAAAATATTGGGTACTGAAGGTACTATCGGAACAAAAAACAAGACCAGGACTTACAATTCAGTAGTTAGAAGGCGAGTTTCTCCATCACAAAGCCACGACTTTGAGCGGCATTCTAGATTTTCACTTGTTTTTTTATGTGGTCATTTAAACTATTGGTTTGATATTATCAAGCGTCAGTGGTTTATACTGTGATTTTTTAAAAGCCGTCATAGTAATGTCAACTCCATACTAGTTTTAAAAATTTTCTTGTTTCTTCATAGATTTCGGTTGATAAATAGATTGCGAAATTCATTCTCGTTATTGTAAAATATTGGATCTTCTATTAAGCCTTTTTAACTCTTGCGTTCCTATTCTAATTTTAATCTTTTTTTTAATATAATTCAGTGATTATTCACAGGTTTACACGTTTGGGAGTGTGAAGAGTCTACTTTCCTTAACAAGATGGCTTCATTCGACCGCGCTTTCATAGTATCCTCCCAGGGGTTCTACTTACTGCTTTCACATGTCAAGAGTGCTAAGTAGGATGCAACTATTGGGATTGGAAAGTCGTGATCGCTAACCAGGCTCTTAAAAGAGCGAATAGGGTATGAACCTAATGCGGCAATTGACTTCAGTGCGACTGCATCTGCTGATATTGCTTTACTAAATTTTAGGTTAGACATTTAAGGAAAAGGTTCAACGGGTTTTTTCGTAATAAAAGCACCTATTTCATTTTGGAAACCTGAATAATATCACAGTTCGCATACAATAAAGTATAATCGTTAGTATAGAAAATGAATGCAATGATTTACTCACCTAGGGAGCAGTGACCTCATAGCGAAAGCGTTTGATTTTCACTCACTAGATCCCTTATTGGAACAGGTCTTCGTTTACTCCAATTTGGATAACTGGGTACTGTCATTAGCCTTCATTCTCAAGTACCGATAGATGAATTAGTTGCCATTATAAAAAGACAATTTAAAATCAAATACTTTATCTATTTTTGCTTGTCAGTTATTTTTAACACAAAAGTAATTAGCTTTTTAGCATTTTTTTAATTTTGTTTGAACATTGACAAGTAAATTTACACTAATCTAATTTATCGTTATTTAGAGTTGATTCAAGAATTTTGGTTCGAATTAGCTAGACCACAAATTCATGGTTATGATATGAATGCAATTGCTAGTATTTCACCAATATTTTATGTATCAGCTGGTGATGAAAAAGTTGTTCGTGTATTTACCACTACTAAAGATTTCTTAAACTCTTTTAAAAAACTATACAAATCACCATCAATTTGCTCAAAACTAGATAGAATTCTTGCTGATAGTTTAATACCTACAGGTAAATTGTTACAATTTAGTTTTCTTGAATAATTTTTATTTATTTCTTCGAGAAAAATTCATTTACCAACTATGTTATTTATGTTCATGGTCTGAACTATTTATTTAACCTGTAAATCTGTACAATAGTGCATATAAGTTACAAACTACTAATTATATCAGCCTAAAACATGTACTGACGTGAGCTTATTCAAAATGAACTTTTATTCGATTGTATTAGGTCAAAAAGTGTTAAGTTAGTCGAAATTCAGAAGTAACAATGTAGGCAAATTACGTTCAGATGTGTTAGTAGACAATTTTTTGATAAGCTTAAGAAAATTCAAACTGATGAGATCCCAAGACATTATATAGCTTTATTTACCTCAATTGAACCAAAGTTAACGTGGACTTTATATCCCTGCTTGTTGCTAATAACCTTAATCTTCCGAAACACAAAGCTACAAAACTAACTTTAATTAGAATTTATCTACTTATACCTAATAAAATATTCTCAATTTAATAAAGTCTACCAATGAGATCAATAACCGAGCTTTTTTCAAATGTATCGATGTTGCGACTTGGAGCTTCACTCTTAAAAGTAATCAAGTCAAAATGTAGATTCGTTTCGTGAACGCCACATCTGTCATCGAAAAGGATAAGCTGGAAAGTTCCTACACTGATTAACAAAGACTTTGGTGACGAAAATTTTAAAATAAAAAGTCGAACAACAAACTATTATTCTTGAATATGTTGATCACCACAAATAACATAGGAAAAATGGAGATTCAGGTGTATAGTCAATCGTCCCACACAGATCAAATTCTGGTATACAATCGCAGCAACCCAACGGCTCATAAAGTAAAGTGCTCACTATTCAAAAGTGTAAAAGATCACTGAAACAAATCTACAATATGAAGAAACGAAGGAAAACGTTTAATGTTTTTTTTTCGGAAGAACGACTACTCACGCAATTTTATTTAAAATTGTTTATGAAACACACCAATAGGAAGGAAATCAAATGTGGAAACCAACACATAGATCTACCTGCCATATATGGATACATCAGAAATTACCATGAAATTACTGAAACAGTTAAGAATAGACGTACCTCCATAACTCAGCAAAATCAATTCAATCAATCTAATACAAACCAAAGCTTAAAATAACAAAACAAAAAAAATCTCAACCACCTACCGAACTCCTTGATGTATGTTCACTTATATCAATAAACAAAATGACCTATATTTTTCAACAACAAAAAATTCTATTCACATTTTATGCCATGTGAAATCTTTCTTTATTTGATTGTCATTATCCGTTGTGTAATTAATTTTAATTCAGGTGCTGTACAACCACCACTTGGTCTTTCAAATCAAATTGTTTCTAGTCCATCTAACAGTAATGATAATAATGTCATTGAAAATCATAATAATATTGAAGACAACAGTGATCGCAATGAATATGTCAATAATGAGGAAAAAGAAAATCTGGATAAAGTTGTATGCTTACCTTCAGTTAATTAATATTTGGCTTTATTATTCTGATTTATGATCTTCTTTTCAATTAGTCGTTCTTTTTTGTTGTTATTAAATGAAGCTTATATTAATACGATTAAGCTGTCAGCCTCTTTATTATCTAATCTAATCTTCTAATCGTCATCATTTTATAGTTGAGGATTACTAATATTTTAGCCTGTTAATAGTTAACAGATAATGTTCCCACTTAAAAATTAACGTTCAATATGCGTAACGTTAGTCAATCAGATGCCATCTATATGTGTTTCTCTATTCTAGTGCCTGCTGAAAAGTAGTGTTTTTTTTAAACTAAAATATTCATATTTTTATTAGGTTTTTCTGCTTCATATTTCCATTAATGTGGAAAAAGATAGTCGAATCTATATTTTCGGGCTTAATTTAACTAAAATAACTATTTTTCAAGGACTTTTTAGGTTCCTTGTAGACTCGGATAGTAAACGATTAATACAAGTCAAATCTGATGCCTGTGACTCTCAAACATCACTCTTACCGTAGATTAGTTACCAGCACTTTAAAAAGCTTCATTAGCGACCAGAATTCCAAAAACTGTCTGAGCATAGTAAATATGAATTGACAATATAAATCTTGCCTAATAGTCTGCACTCTATGTTAACTTCAGTGACGTTTACAATGCGTAATCACCTCAAAAAATAGCGAAATACAAATTTGTAGTTGTATTTACGATACTATTTAAACATAATTATAAAATATACGAAATACCTGAACAATACAGTTTCTATACCACACTTAACAAATTATACTAAAACGCTTGTGCAATCAAATCTACAGTGCGATAAATAGCATGTTAAAAAATAGAAAACTATTCACTTAAAAAAAATAAAAGGTATTCGTGACAAGTAGAAATATTTAGTTTACAAGCAATCAACTCAAATGTAGACAGCTAAGGACTACAAATCAATATGACTTCAGCGAACATCTTGAGTCTTTAGTAAAGCAAAATCTAAGACTGTCGGGAAAGCATCGTACAAGAGCAGAAGCAAAAAAAGAACGAATAATTTAAATAAAGTACAGTAATACTAATCTCACTCAAGCCAAAAACAAATGTTTCTAGACATTATAACCAATAACGTTGCACTTTAGTAGAAATGAATAATTATTATCGCATAGGAAGTCAACTAGTGGGATTTCTTCACATACAAATAATATTATAACTCTTCCCTTTTTTTGTGTTACTCTAATATATATTGTAAAATCTCGTACAACATATGTTTTGATTACTTTCAATTCCAATCATTACACGTAGTCGTTTGAAATGATTCTTTGCGAAATAACCGAATTCGCGATCTTTCAGTTTTTGTAGAAAATACATATATCAAGATTGTAATGTGTTATTTTCCAATTGTTGTTTAATTGTCTTTTTTCAAGTAGATGTCAAAAGTTAATTGTTAGAATTTAATTTAATTATTAGTTAGTACATAGACATCACATATTTTTTTCTTTTAAATCTTCTTGATGCCTAATTGATGCAGTTTAAAGAAAAAACAAATCAACGTGTATTACTGCAGAGCTCGATGATCATCATTTTGAGGTCTATTAAACGTGGTGTAGCTATATGTAAAAATATAACATGAAACGAAAGTAAATAAGAGTTATTTAATATTAGTTTAATCATAAACTAGATTCAATCATCAATTAGTGAGTTGATTTTAGACTCAGAATACCTATCTAAACGGTAAACAAAATATTTCTTGTAATATTCATTCCGTTATCTAGATTATATAGATTAATTTGTGTTCTTGGTAATTGCCATAAACTACCGCTATGAAATGTACTTCTTAAAATTTGAAATTTCAGTGTACATCTAATGAACTTCCTACAGAAGATCGGTTACAACATGCAACACTATGGCCAGAGGTAAAAAAGTTGTATGGTCATCCTTATGAGGTAAGTAGAATGTTTATATCTTACTTCATACTCAAATAATAATTGTTTAGTGTTGAAGCGAAATTTGCATACTCATTATAAATTCTTTCTTAATGTATAAACATTGCCACTTGTTTGTTCGCTAATAAAGCTGGAGGAAAACTCAGTAAAATGCAATTGAATTCTTAATTTCAAACCACTTGTTGAATGACGAATTAAAAATTCATTCCGTATATTTACGTCAGGTAGTGTATTCGATATGTATATGCAAATGAATACAGATGAGCGGGTAAATTTACTTGAATCACATATGATATACATCTGTTCTTTTGCAAATACGCTTTCTACCCTTAATGTTTCACTCTTCCAAATCTATGTTCCTACTCACTTTCTTTTTTGGGTTTTAGATATACTGTTTGGCAGTTCATCCACGCCAATTTCTCGTAGCCTCCGCTTGTACAGCATCAAAACCTGAATATGCCCATATTATATTATGGAATGGTAATTCTAATTGGTGTATACACCAGGTAACTGTTTATGACTTATCAATCAAGGAGTATTACTATGTTTACCATAGCATATGGAGATGTGAAATTTCCTGCCACACAATACATATTCAGTTTTTCATTGGTGGTTGTAATGGTACCTACATTAACGGTTTAATCATTAAACCCTATTGGTCTGATTGAAATATGTCGAGTATCCTACATGAGATGAATTATTATCTGTGTTACATATCCTCGGAATGATCGTATAAGATATTTTTGTGCTCAATGCTTGAAACTTGAGTTAGTCAAGTCAAGGGATCACCTGTTAATAACCGATGTTACGCTTTAAGATTTAGTACTTATACAGTCAAAAGGACTACAAATTTGACTCTCAGATGTCAAGTGGTTGATTAATTACAGCAACAACACATTAAATAACTAATGAGAATGAAGTTTTGGCCAATGTGTCACTACTTATCTTCTCAGATCCAAAAAATCGAAGTTTCGCAACTTTCAAGCTTTTTCCGTATTCCCCAAGTAAATGTAATCTCTTTATTATTAAAGCCGATCTGTTAAAAATTAAAAAGCTTTTCCAACTATCATTCGATCTATGCACTGTATTCTTTTATAATCTTTTACTCTCGACTTGAATCTAAGACTTTCTTTTTAAGTCCGTCTAATAAACTACTTATGTTTATACCTTATTCCTGGTGTTCAACTTATGTTTTCTTAGCGTTTGCAACATCATCAGTTGACGGTAACTCAGTTAGCATGGAGTCATGATGGGACTAGATTATTGGCTGTTTCAAGGGATCGCACATGGAGTTTATGGTCTGAACAACCGATGAATAGCGCAACAGAAGGAACGAATCATCAACTTTCAAACTACATCCTATCTGCTTATCCCATTAAAGGTCAAAGTCATTCAAGAATAATTTGGACTTGTGCATGGAGTCCAGATGATAAGTGAGTTACTTTCCACTTTCATATCTTTCTACCACCTAACTCACCTGAAAATATTATATTATTAAGAGCTTATTGAATCATTTATGCTCTTGTCCCTTTTAAATTAACTTTTTATTTATTTTCTTTTAATTGTTTTGTTTCATACAAGAAGATTCATTTAAATTTCTATGACTGGACTGAAAATATTCTTTGGTGTTTAGAGAATACAATTATCGTCACGTCATTAACAAAAAAGTATAATGATAAAATTAATTGAAGCGCAAATTCCGTTCAATACAAAAAATTATATTAAATGGTGTAAAACTAGTTTTCCTGTCAAAAACCACAAACTCTCGACCTAAATAATTGTAACAGTGTTAAAATATATTGGCAGCAGGGTTATGAAAGCAATCTAAGTAAGCCATATTACCCCCCACACACACACACATGTCGTACTTACTTTCTTCAACACGGAATACGTTTTATATTATGGATTTACGCTTGTATGTGATTTATTAATCTGACTTAACTATCAGATGTGATAATGACTTTATTTAAAACTAATGAATTACTTTGGGCTCATATTTTCAACGCAATAAAATTATCTGTATCCATGAATTTCGAAACGAAATGAGTTTAGTTTGTATGATAAGAAACTAATTGATTTGTTATAAATTTTCTCAACATGTTTTCATTGTCGTTTGATCGTTAAGTCGATTTCATAAATCTGTATTTATTTAATACATCAATGTTTGTGCTCTGTTCATCATGCATATTGTTGCTCTTACTCTTTAAATTTATTTTCAAGATACTTTTTCACAGGATCCAGAGACTCATCAATTTATTGCTGGAATGCTACTGTCAAAATACAGAAATCAACGGACTGTCTGCCTCCTGAAGCTCTTCGTCGATTAGACATATACAAAGAACTTGGAAAGTCAGTAACAGCTATCGATGTTTGCGAAAGTTTTAACTCAGAATGCTCGTCTAATCTCCATTCGTATTTAATGGCTGTTGGTTTAGAATCCGGTAACATAATATTGCTTAAATTATGTGAAACAGGATCATCTGAGCGCTTTTTCACATGGTCGATTGTTTTAAATTTCCCTTCAGATTGGTGCCATGTTCCAGGCAAAAGGTTAAGGCGAATTTCGTTTTCACCTTATAAAGATAATTACCTTAAAACATCGATTAAATACATGGCGACATCTGGTGATGATGGAATAGTTCGAATTTTCAAAATCAACATTAAATTATTATAATGTCGTTGTGTATTCATATTCATTTGAAATAAAACCAGCTTTGATTTCTATTTTGATACTGTATGATCTTAATCCAATAAGTTTGTTAATTTGACAAGTCAATCGATTTTAAATTCATAGGAAAACGCTAGACTCAGCATCTTATTTTATAAAAATTATGTCTAAGTGACCGTTCTTATTTATAAGACCCATTCAGTCTTAAACAAATTAAGGTGTATATGTCTTCACCATAATACTAAAATTACACCTATGGATGTGTGATTTTTTAGAAATAATAATTAAATAACAGAGAAATCTATGTACGTTTTGCATCTAGTCACTTTTGATAGACAATGTGCATTAAAACCTCGGTTTTGAAGGTAAATTCGATTAGGACTAATTCCATGTATTGAAATATTTTTCCTAAATTTTCTTTTTGATGTTTGAATTTTTAACCTGTACTTTTCTATATAACATCACAAAACTCACGTCGTTTTGTTTTATCTTTCTAAGACACTGACGAATTCCATTATCCCTCTAAAGACAGTGTTCATTCAGTACTATAAGCAAAATTGCATGGCTTCTCCATAGGGACCTGAGCAGTCTAGCTCGTTGACCATATATCTTGGGAATCTCCTCAGCGATGATGAGTTGGTGGTCGACGAAATTTTCGGATAGATAAAATAATTATTTGACTTCAACCTGTCGCGAGTATTTGATTTGATTTTGTTCCACGGATGTAAAATATGTCTTAGAAACATACATGAATTGTGCAGACTGAAAGTACTTACTCAAGCCCTTGAAACATCGCTTGCATACGAATAAATCATAAAAGGAATCAGGCTCAAGTACGAGACCAAAATTTAATAGACTGAGATTGTTAGGTTACATGTTATTCAAAGGTGGCTATTTCCTACGTGTAGTTGAAGTTTAAATCAAACTAGCTACAGCATCAAAAATTATCACTAAACTGTGTAGTAAACAATGTTGGATGGTAAACACCTTGTTGGGTACCACTCAAAATGCATAACCTATCTTAGGAAGTGTCGGATGACATGATTTAGAATAAGTTTCAGTGGGAATATGAACCGATCCAGATCCTATTTTGACTATTACCGCCTTTAGAAAAGGACCAAGAGATGTGAGTGAATTAACTTGAGCATCCCGATAAATATGCTCACATGGATACCAGGTTTATACCTAGATATGGTACTAGAAATTTCTGTCGTTTCTAAACTTGGTATTGTGATTTCATATTAAACCAAAATGTTGGTTTAGAGTCCTGATCAGTAATAAGAACTACTCAGCACTTCTTTCAGTTTTCCTCTAAGTATATGAAAAATATATTGTGGAAGTAGAATGTATGCATAAGCTGGGGATTTTAGCCATGACTGTCTTCAAAACATTTTTCGCATATAGTGTAACAACCGTGTCAGCTATGCTGAGTTTTGGCGTAGGTGCTGTACAAAGATGGTAATTCAGATGATAGAGCTGAGAATCCTCATCAATCAAGATAGATGTGATATCCATTACGTATTTCATTACCACCTGCCATGATGTGTATGTTTGGCTAGAAAAGGAGTAAGTTGAAAAAACGAGGTGGCGAAACCAAACGTAGCATCAGTTTGTGAAGTCACTGACTGTTGGTCCGATTCACGTTGCTAGGCGCAGACTATCTGGTTGCAGTCCACCCGAAGTTCATGGTCAGTAAGACGTCCAACGATATGGCTTATGATCGATCACAGTTGTTCCGATGTATTCCATGTTTATATCTTTTTGTAATAAGTATTTGTATTCTTTTTTGAACTAGATCTTCAATCTTTAGCCCTTTTCAGTATCATTGCCACTACAATTATTTCGCCTTATTTGTTACTCATCTTATGGATCCTCTCTCGTTGTGCTAATTTGCTTTGAAAACTTTAGCTGACACTCAGTTATGCTAGGTTCGGCGTTGATTATAACTGAGACCGTCTCAAATATTCTTTCTGTCAGAATCAATATCACTGGATAATCAGGTTTGTAATTCGTTGCGAATGAATCGAATAGTAACATCACCAGGTAATCATAACCTGTAAACATCAATAATTGAAGTAGCAAAGTGCTAACGATCCAGTTGGCTCTATGTAAAATCATTTAAGACATAGTAATATGAAACTGCTGTGTTGCGTGAAGTACACATAAATTAATATGGTTGAAAGTTATATGAAAGGGAAATTTATGATGTTTTTATTTTATTTGGATCATAGTTTATTTGACATAAGAAACGAACTTTGTCAAATGAACTTTGAAGACAGTCATTTTTCGTGGACTATACATGTACTGTGTGATTGATTATTTCCAAGATTTACCCTCTAAATATATAATGCAAGATGAGGGGTTTTTCGGCGGTGTTGTATTCCCTAAGTTGGATGATCCAATTTTCGGAGCTTTCATTGTCCTTTTGATCAACATTATCAGCACATACTTCAAAGAAAGGTGAGCTATTGAAATTACTCCACAATCACCTAACAGCTCGTTGTATTCACCTTCAATTTGGTTAGTCATCTGATTTTGTGACCATTACTTGCATGTTTGCTTTGAATGTTTCTCTCCTGATTAGAACTCTGACCTTGCAATTGTTGATTCCTCTTCCTGTTGACCGATAGGCATGATCAGTTTCAATATATACATTGATTTCGGTCAGAGTGCTAGACCTCTGAAATTTCCTCTGTCCAATATTCTGACGTTTTCCCAACCGTATTCGTATAAAAATTGCTTAGATGCGTTAATATAAGCTGTTTTTCCGCCATTGAGGGACTCGAATTATTTACAATTGGATATCAAGTTATACGGATGGAGTCTGACTATATTGAACCAAGATTTTAGATGCATCGGACCAATTCCGCTAATTATTCCAGTTGAAAGTTCTGTCTGTCCTATCAATCTATTTTATTTCTTTTCAAGACGAAGTTTCAAAACACTTGCAGGCTAGCATCACTTATGCTTAAATAAATACTGAAAAACATGAACTTATTTATTTTCAGCAATATCATGATACTAATTCAGATTTTCTTTCTATTTATCTTTCCTCCTTAAACAAGAATTTGAGAAGAATAAGTTCGATTTATCTCTCTGGAACCTCCTTATCCGCTTACGACGTGTAATGTTTTATAATCGGAATTACAAAAGCACTGACAAATGAATTTTCCTGAAACCTGATGTCAACACGTTTTGGTATGGTGTAGCAAAGATCCGAAAAATATTAAAAGACTTGGTAAAATGTCGCACATGTACGTCATGCGTTAGTGCTCAGAAATGTGGGTAGGAGCAAACGACTAGAAATAACTGGTTGCGTAATTATAATTAGTAGAAAAGTGAGTAAATCTGAATTAAAAATAAGTTCTAAATCTAGGAAATCGATTGAATGAATTTCTCTAATCATATCTAGTTGGAAACTGGATTAGTAAAATATTGTTTATATTTTACGGGCAGGGCAATTTTAATGATTGCTTCCTTTTGAATATCAATATACAACATTCTCTGTACTTTCTCGATAAAAATAACGTCCAATAATGACATCTATTTGAGATGCTTCATAATTTCAATTTAAAAGTATGAAATACTTGTCATTATTTAACTCCTTAAAATGTTGGTTTAGCCATAAAGTACTCTGAAAGCCTCAAGAATAAGTGCTTTCTTTTTGGATGATAAAATACTAGTATCCGTACTCAGTGAAATCATCTTAGTATCTACGTACACTTACCAGCGAATCTACAGAATGGTTGGATTCAACAAATAATGTGGGAAAATGTCCTATCTCGTATTTATAATACTTAAGAATTAAAAATAAATTGCATGTTTTGTCGGCTACGTCAGCTGCACAATTATCTAGAAGTGTGTACGTTCCTACTGACAGTCATCTACCATTCATTATCGATTACAGTGTAGAGAAATCTGACTATGAGACGCTAAAATAGCTTCCCAGGATTATAACCAAATTTAATCAATAACAAGACATCCATTCAAACAACCGACAACTCAATTAAGTAATTAAACTGAGTTTGTGAATTCAATAGTTTAGAGTTTCATATATTGAAATGGTTCAGTTTTTCGCTGATGTACACTTCACATGAGTTAACATGTTTTCAGTTGTAATTAAAATTTTCCCTTTTATCTCTTTATCCTTTAAATATTTGCTAACACTTGTTCTTTTTCCGCACAAATTTATTTCGTTGATAAGTCCTCCTGGGGCACCTTTGGGGCTACTATCGGTCCCAACCCGGATAAAGGAGGAGGTTTGGGTATAGGGTTAGCGACCTCATCGCGTAGAAATCTAACTCGCTAAAAACACTCTGACCAGAAAAAATAACTAAAAAATCAAAACATTTTGAACTACATGATTTCCTAAATTTATGGTATTCAGTAGTTTTGATCAGTGTATGGAGTGTCATATTTACGTATGAACCTTCAGTTAAAATTACATGCAGCTTTAATTAGACGTATTCGCTGACTGCTGGTTAGTTCGTATTTAAGTTTATATAACTACAGATGGGATATCATTTATTATTAAATTTAAAACTGACTCTAAGCAAGATTATATTGTTTCGCAGGTTAAAAACAATGAATCTCCATATTCATCATAAATCAAATCCCAATAAATCTATTCTAGTTCATTATTAAGACTTTATTTTGTAAAAAGGTATCCATAAAATTCATCGTCTGAAGTAACGTCTTTTGTTCGTTAATACATTATTCAAGTGACCTTGTTATTAATGCATGAATTAGATAATACAATGAGAAATATGCGAAAAATCTAGTCACATAATGACTTGTTAAGATCCATGAGTAAAATGAGAAATGATCAAACTAGATAAACTACGAATCAGTTACCTGGATTGATTCAAACTGAAATGAAAACCGTTTTTGAAACATGAAAGGTCTTGGAATTTTCTTATATTTGTGTTTTCAATAAAATTTAGTATTCTCAATAGAACACTTGTACACAACAATACAAAGGCTGATTTAAGAACTATCTAATTGTTCATTTGAAATAAATGTCAAAAAATAGACAGATGCTTGTTTATTATTGTACTGATATTGTAGAAATTCAAATGAATGTAAACTAGATTTAACAAATACAATTGCAAAAAATTATCAATCATTTTCAAGCTTCATTTTAATTTTATCAAGTCAATAAAAACATTATTTCGACTTATTTGGCATAACAAAATAAAATAACGTCAACTTTATTTTCTGTAACAAACTATCAAAATATAATTGAAAGCATTATTATTAGCTGCATTGATCACCATAAATAGAAAACTGATTTGTTTTAAGTTAATTAAGTAGTTTTACATCTGAATCAAGTGAAGTTAGACATTATTTTAGCTAGTAATCTACCTGTATAAAAGTTCCTCTCATTTTCAGACTGTTTCTAAGAGAACTGAACTTAGCTTTGACAGGCCTGTTTATATATATATATATATAACGTCTATTATGATTTTCTTACTAGTAGAGCACCAGAATGTAGTTGCTATTTTAGAATTTAAATGATTAAATATGAACTAGTGTATATAAAAGGAACTACCTTTAGGGATTTTAGTTATAAAAATAGCCTTTATTAAAATAGTCTATTATTTATACTGTTCATTATTTCCTGTCTAATACATAAACTGTGTTGAATTTTATGTATCCCGCAGGCGTATTATACTGATTTCATTTTTCATGTAAGGAGATAAATCAAAGAGATTTAACGGTCATTGAATGTTGTAAAACTCTTATCCTATGTTTTAAATTAGAATTAAGTAAAAATGTTTTACTCATAGTAACAATGAAATACAGTCTAATGAATCAATTTTAACTTATTCATTAGCCCATGAACTATATATATTTTGTTAGAATGAGAAAAATACTTCCGCGTTTTAATAAATGAGTGCTAAATATGTGTTTCGAGGCCATACGTTGGTAGTTAACCTGCTTCACTATCTTTTAACAATAAATGAAGTGTGTATTTGGTTTTAATTTCACTTCTAATCACTTTCTCTGCCTATCAGCCCCATTACCGTTAAACATGTTTGATTAAATATGTGTATCATAAAGAAAACTGCTCTTAAATTCATCAGAATATACCATAACGTTCATTTTGTAACTTCTACATTCTTCATACTGTTACCTTCATTTAAACTTTTACAACCAAAAATGAGGGAAACTCAGTTGCATAATTGAAGAAGGGTATAGATAAATTAGTAAAGAAAATTTTCTTTTCGATTATTCCACTTACTTAGGCTGTACTATCGTATTTATAGTTAGTTTATTTACCAAACGTGGTGGTCTACGGTAAAAAGAAATAAGTGTCCTGTCACTAGCAAAACATTATCAAAAATATTTTAATGTTTAAAATATACCAAACAGATTAGCCTGTAGGCGAATAAAGATACGTTGTGTATTGCGTTATAAATTGTTTATAAAAATCAAATATTCAAAGGGAATTATGTAATAATCTACTGACTAATTTTTTAAAAATGCTGACATTTCAAGTACTTATTTTGACAGATAAACTCAAATGACTAGTTTACAGATAGTTAGTGAACTTAATTCAGCATTATAATAAGGTATATTTACTAATTACCCAAAATAAATCAATGTAAATAGTTTTCTATGTTTGTTATGTAATTGTGATATACTAGATGTTATTTTATACCATGTATTTAGAACTGAGTTGTCGTATGGTAGCATGATTTAGGGAAGCATTTAAAGTGTTCAGTAATAATTTCATTACTGACAAACCTAGTTTGTTTGTGAAAAAAATCTATGTTACTTGACTTGTGATTAAGATTCGAAATGTTTGTGTAACATAGTAATTTTATCTGGATTTAACTATTATAAAACTAGATATAATTAGAACGAAACAGTTTCATTTATACAGAAAAGATAAACACATACAAAATAATTATGTAATAATTAGTTGTGTAATTTAATCTGTTTTTTTCGCTAGTTCTATCTTGAAAGCCAAATCACTTATCCTTAGATCAATGGTGGTTGGAAAGTCAAAGCAGAAGTTCTCCCATCATCATTTAACGAACTAATAAAAATGTCTCAATGAATCAAAAAAATACTCATTACATTCACCTGCCTTCTTGTCTTCATTCTTATATCGAATATTATTTCGATGAAATCTTTATTATTATGATCTGCATTGTATGTTATACATAGGCTTTATTTTTAAAACGCCTCTTCACTTTATTTAAATTCGTTTAATTTTTAGAAAATGTAAACTAAACTATTTTCTGTCAACTTTAAATAAGATTTATACTTAATTTATTCAAAATTAACATATCACTACATTTTAATTTATGTTTAAACTAGACATAATTATTATTGTTATTGAAATACTTGGTTAGTAGTATGGTTGTACTACAGCTTGTATTCTACTTAGCATGAAAGTAGTTATTGTTTATTTTTACTAAATATTATATAACTGACAACAATCTTACTAACAGTATGATTTACAATAGCAGTACTATTTCTATTATTATTACCATTATTATTATTATTATTATTATTATTATTATTATTATTATAAATCATCGTATCATGGTAGCAATAATAACTATTATTTTACAGATGGCTAAATGAGTAACTGGAATAAATAGTTTGTGAAATATGATTGGATCATTTGAGAAAAAAATATTATTTAAGATAGTAGACTTTGATAGTACATATGGGTAATTCATTAGAATAGAGATAGGATTGGTAGATGATTATTGTGTATAAATCTATTCAGATAAGTCAATATAAATGGAAATAATTTGATTTATATTAACAATGTTGATATTTTCTGAGGATTATTAACTAGGTAAGAATTCAATGTATAGAAGAGATAATTATTAAGAAAAAAATTTTATATCCAAACTAACATTCTATTTTTTGTTTAAATAAAGTAAGTTAATTATTTTGTACAATTTTACATTGTGGCGACCATTTCAACTCACAAATAATATAAATATTTAGTTTGAATATAAATTTGGTTTTTTTGTGTACTATTTACAAGTTTCTAATTTACTTTGGTTATTTATTCTCTGAAGAAGTGGCTTACACAGCCACGAAACGTCAGGAAATCTAATTTTTCTACTCATTGGGATATTACAAATATATTATTTATTCTAATTTACTTCTATGTTTATTTCATCATTTCAATTGTAAGTTTAGAGAAATTGTTTTTGGATATACCTTAATGAAGCATTCAGTTAACAGATTACTAACATAGACAATACTAGTAGACACAATGAATTCGACTATTACAAAACTAAGCGTTATCATTCACATTTTAAAATGATTTCCATTAGAATCGCTCTTTTTAATTCAGCTGTATAAAGTAGAGTGTCAAGAGTACCTGTTGAAAGAATCCTATAGATATGTTTGAGAGTATCATTTAAGTTATAGTCAGATATGTGGCTCGTCCCAAATAATGATCTCTAAAAATCAACAAGTGTAATGTAATTTATTCTTGTACAAAGTTAATGAAAGTTCTTTGTTTAAAATTAAAGAAGTATTATGGCTGAAAAGAATTTCTCAATAAATTTCTTAACTGGTTCAACAGTTTTATTTATAGTATCGTTAATTTTATATTGTTGGAAATGTATGTTAGTTTAAGAATGTTATTCACATTGAGATTTAACAATTTAAACCAAATAAACTTTTGGTCTTGCCTTGGACCGAATTTTCATCGTTTTTAAGCAGAATGCCAAGACGTAACAATACTTCAATAAAACCGAGTCTACAATGAGAAAAGGACACCAGTATGTATCGTTAACTGATCAAAAAGTAATTGATTTGTGTCTTCTACAGGATACGTTTACCTAAAAGTTTTATTATTGTTCATGTTTTTACGAAAATATTACTGCTTCTCAACAAAAACTATCTACAAATATTGTACCATTAATAGTTATTTCAGTCCATACTACCGACCTCATTTATTTATGCTAATTCAGTTTGAAGTAGCTGGATATTTCTAATATTTATTTGATGAATATGTGTACTTTGTAATTTGTTGCATTTTTATATGGCATAACGTCATTATAAATTAATTTACTGTGAAATAAATTTAGTCAATTTGTTCGGATTGTTTTTACTAGTTCTTAGAATCTGATAAACTTATTTTGGTAAACAAGTATGTATTATTGCACGGTAAAATGAGTTGAATAATTTACTAATTTTTTCTTATTGAAATGATTATCACATCAAAATGGTGTAAATGGACATACTACTGAAAATCGAGGAGCTACGGCCAACTATTTTGGTTTAATTTGTAACTACTCAGCTAAGTATTTGTAATAAAACTCAACTTATAACAATCGTCAGTAATAAAAGTTATTTTCAAATTACAAGACAACTTCTACAAAGTCTACTCAATAAATTACTTGTTATCTGTACTATGTAAACTTGATTTTTACTAACAATATACTTTAGAATTTCTTATGACCATGTAATATCAACTTGTTTAGTCATTAATAATGAAATAGCTTTCTATGGGTACTTCTTTTTAATCTTTTGGATGGAATTTAATAATTCACAGACAAGTCAGATGCTTCGATTTTTATTTAGTTTGTTGATTGATTGTATCTGTATCTGTTGATATTTGTAGTGTCATTTTGTTAGGACCCGAGAAACATAATGAATGGTAATTTTGGGGTCCTTTTATGGACCAATAGTAAACGTATATTTTTATTGTATAATTATGATATGATGGAACGAAAAGTCAATTTTCGATTGAATTACTCATTATGAGTTTTATTCAAAATTACATCCGTTTTGATTCAACGTGAGCATCATTCACTGTAGTATTTGATTGTTTTCCCAGTATGATATACGATATTCTTGCATTCACTTGACATAAACTTGACATGCTCAGTAAGTGATTTGTTATAACTGAGTATGTGATGTAATCCTAATTATTAATCAAAATGGGTGTACAAGTCAATATATAAATGAGTGTATTTTAGACAATATAGATTCGTCGTTGTCATAATGTTTGGGGCTAATAAATCTTCACTTATGCCAGTCTTGTATTCTTACTTTCGCATAGCGGGAATTGCCGTGGCCCCTGGTTCCGAGTATAAATGATCAGCGCTTTTGTTTTTCCGGCATAACACATTTAAAATTTAATATTGAAAGCACTGATACTCTATGATACAGGTACATTAAACTGATAACCTCTAAATAGACAGAAGTATATTGGCAAAATATTTGACTGTTATTATTTTTCTAATGTTAATTCAAATCATAAACTGAGGAAAGTATAACTTTATAGTTAACCGGTTTCTAATAATAGAATTTATCAATATTGATATAATACTCAGATTACCTGTACTAAATCAATTTAAACCAAGGATATCTTAACGTCGTGAATCTACTGAGTCTATTTTTCATAAATAAAACTTGATTAACATTATTCATCCAATATATTTTCATCAAGTGCAACAAATCATTAAAATGTTAGTAGTAACACTGTTAACCCTTATACTGAGTTTCTGAGTAACAAACGCTTTTTTAAATATTATATAATGCTGTCATGTAGAAATAAAATATGCAAAGTCTTATAATTAACTTATTAATTTCTTTTATAATATTGTTTCTAACCAAACTCAACTGTATTGTTAAGAGGATGAATCAAAACTAGATCTAATTATATATATACTTGTAGTTTTTGGGCTGTGATTTATTTTCTTTTTTGAAAAAAATGTCATTAAACTTCTTAATCGCGATAATAATTTTTAAAGAAGCATTCTAATGAAATTATGTAAAAGGAAATTTAGAAAGTAAATCTTTATTATTATACAATACATGGCTAAAAGTGACTATTTATAGCATGAAACACATTAATTTCAACTTGCGAATAAATTAGATTAAAACAATTTGAAATATTTCTCTAAATCTATGGCTTTTCTTTTTTAAAAAAAACATCATTTTAAAAAGGTAAGAACAGTTTTCTGTTTAAACATTGTTTTTTTTTGAAAATTGTTGTAGATATTGATAGTAGTACAGGAGTGGGGATAACTAAATATATTACAATACGACATTACAGAATATCTCGGTATAATCTGAGAACCATACAGTAGATATTGCATTTGCAAAATATCCATCAATGGTCTTGTTGTTCCTTTGTTTCCATACCAATCACTCTTTGTTCTGGTTCTTTTCTCTTTAATTTTCTCAACCTTCTTCCGCTAGACATTCCAAATTCGATTGGTGATAAATACTACTTCTATCTGTTGACATCAGTAGTACACAGCATACTTCTTGATAGCATCTAGCAAAATAAATTAAAGATATAGTCACTGGTCATTTAAAAATCAATTATATGGAAATACCAAGTAAATGAAGAGACTTCTAGTTCGTTACAAGGTAGTAAGGAAAATCTCACAAATGCAATATTCAAGAATAACACTACTTATCCGTTTGTTTCTCCACGAAAAGATTTATGCTAGTCTTTAAAATTTAGTCCTACCATATATATATATATATATATATATATATATATATATATCTGAAACATCACATTTCATTCAACAAGATTTTGACATCTTTGCTAATCGATCAGAACTTCTGACACCATAATATTTAACTATAAGCTGAATGGTTTACATTTTAGTTATTATATTAATATTTAGGCAAAAGAATGCTAACTGTAATCAAAGATTACTTCGAAATATTCCAGATGTGAAAACGAAATAAACTTTATAGAATTTAGTTATATTGAATAATACAATGTTTCTCATCCTGTTAGAATAATTAATCGACATTAGATTATAATCAGTTTTAATACGAGGTAGTCTATTAGACTCTGTTAGACTTAATTGCAGTACTAGCAGAATTTGAAAGAAATATTTAAAAATACCTAGATGTTTACAACAAAATAACTTCTAATTATTTCTTTTGTGTACAAATATCATACTTGCACTGAAAAGTTAAACTTTTTAAAGCCCATTCAATAGCAATTCATACAATAGATCATAGGAAACTTTCTATTTAAAATCAGGGATGTAAAAGGATAAATACTCTTTTATAAAATAATTCAGCCCTACAAGTGTTTAATCAAGTTCATAATTTCTTCAAAGTGAAAGTTCTGACTGGAAAAAGTAATGTTTTCTCTATAGAGACAGATTTTCTCAGTAATCATTTTGTTTTTTAATGGTATTTAAAAACCATCATAAAACCTAATTCTAGAGCTTTCAAGAGACTATTCACAACACTTCAGTAGGAGATATAAAATGTTTTATTTTTAAATAACTCAGAATTCTAGCGGCAAACTACCCTGATAGTAATGAATTAACACTTTGAACTAGAGAACATCAAACTATTCACAGCATAAATGCTTTTCAAAAATCCAATCATATTACCGTAGTTCAAAGGATCAGCAAAACATACCGATTTACAAATTCTGTAAATAGAATCACAGTAATTTTTTGTAGTTGTCAAATTATTGAAAATAATATGACCGATTTAAGTTCCATTTGTCTGTAGTCTGTTTTTACGTAATTGTTGTTAATCCTTAACTACTTTGCTAGTCTTTTTCGGCTCTCATATGAAACTTGTCAGCTTCATAGTAGTTAGTTCTAAATTTAACCGATAAACAGTATAATAAACCTATTAATCTTAATTCTAGGATAACTTTCATAATTATCCACTTTTATAGACAATTTTGTATGTTAAATTATAGTGACTAAATTACTAAAACATAACAGATATTCATTTATTTGAATACTTTGTGAATGTAGAATTCATTAGAATGTGGTTTTTGTTACAGATCAAAACAGGATGATGAATCAATCGAAAATCATAAAAGAATAGAGAATCGGACACTTGTAACTTTGGATAATATTAAACTTAGTAAGATTATATTTCGTAGCAATCACGTTATTCTTTGGCCAGTGACGAAATCTAATAGTCCATATTTTTTTATACCGGCTTTATCGTGATATCTACCAATGATCATCGAATGATATCCATGGTATTCATTGTACAATTGAAATTCACTAGTTAGCATGTTTCACTAAGATTCATCATGAGGCTACTTATTAATGAGCGTATACAAATTGTTCATTTGAATGATTTGTGAAGATCACTTACACTACAAACCATAAGTACTAATATAAAGACTGAATATGTACCTGACTATGATAATGAATAAGAAAGAGCTTTTTTTCTGATAAAGTTCATTTTCTTTTTCAACTATAATTTTCATTTTTAATTCTAAGTATAACAGATTCATTTAGAAAATGTTAAAAATAAATCTTACACAGCTCTTAATTTGATACCATCAGAAAATGATCTTCCTGTTTCATTTTGTTGTAATAACTAAATTAACATGAAAAAAACGCACATTGAGACATATTCTATGATCATTTTCATTTATTTCCTATAAAGATTGTTATGATTTTAAGTAGTAAAAATATTAGTAACAACACAAAAAATTAATAAGATGTTTTTTTAAGCAACCGTATAGATATGCTTCAGTAGATCTCGAATTATGTTTTTATAACCACTTTTAAGAGAGAATCGAATAGAAATATTTCCATTATATATATATATATTTATATATATATATATATATATATATATATATATATATATATAAATTAATATTTATTCTCACGCAAATGAGTCAATGGTTTCTATCTCAGTAATTAAGTTAGTAGGTGGGTCTTGATGTATGAAAAAAAAAGTGTTTTCATGAAAAATATTTCAATTATAAATAAGCTCAGAAAAATTCACTTAAATAATTTTATTTTGTAATTAATTCATATATATATATATATATATATATATATACATTAATCTAAATAGAGGTTAATTCTCTAATTATTAATATGCTTATGATTTTTTGAGAAAATAAAAGCACGAAAACAATTTATAATGAATACAACAATTTATATATTATCCGAAGGGGTTTTGTGTAGATTGTAGTAATTTAAACAGTTTGAGATCATGAGTCAATTGAAGCTAGACCACTATGAAAAACTTATATTGGTTCAATAATGTTCTTTTCTAGAAGCTCAATACTTTTTTTTAAACCATAAGGATTAGAAAATAAGCCTTTATTTGTATTGAAACCAACTTGATCATTGTAAAGTTAGCTGGAATATTATTGATTTTAATAATATTACCTAAACTAGCTTTATTTTTTTTTACTAGTTATTATTATTGATGTAATGAAAATATATGTTGCCGGATGTACGAATGACATCTATTTTAATTAATGATAATAATTCCTTTTATATTAACTTTGTTGTAACTCTTATATCAGAATTCTAGATTATGTAATATTAAGGCAATTTTCATTGCATATTAAAATTGAACAGAATATTTTTTGTTCAAAATATAGGAGAAGTAAATAGTTCTATCTTTGTTCAATTAATATTAGTTAATGATGAAAATTGCTTTCAAACTATTTGAAAATTCTCAACAATACTATCACAAGAAATGATAATCCTCTGCTCGGGAGTTAATAATTTGGATTACCTTATTCTATGCACTTAGCAACTCAGTTGTGACAAACTTCTTTGATCTAACGATATTAAGCATTAGATTTCAACTATGTGGTTTCAAGTTATTACACTATTGTTAAGATCTAGTCATTCTATACTTTTGCTTGTATAGGATCGTATTTGTAGACTGATGCGAACTTTTGAACTAAAATAAAACAGTTGTCAAATGCTCATTAGATTTCGGTTGTTCATCAAAGAATTTTAATAAATAACATAAACCACGTTAAAAATTTATGAAACCCCTACAAAACCACATCAATAAACAATATATTAAATCGAGAGGTTCTAGGATATAATTTCTTTTAACCAATGCCACACTATTCAATAAATTATCTTCATTCCGACGAACAGTATTTTAATCAGTTTATTCAGTAGTCAAAAGTAATTTGAGATAAAATGTTTCAAATATGATATTTTAGAGTTTATCCGGAACAATATTGTAAGTTGACCGAGATAGGAAGATATATTTTTGTAAAAGCACGTACCAAATCTTATAATACCGATGTGGTCATAATAATGGGTACCTTCCTGAGTATGCAATGAAAATAATAAAATGATAGTTTAAAATACATTATCTCATCCACCGCAGAATCACTTACATGACAAAAGTAAATCTCGAATCTTCGGATGTTAGCCTTTGAATCACATGTTTACAAGTTAATAAGTAGTTGTCTAGTTCTGATTAAGAAACTGAACAGTTACCGTAACCTTGACTACAAAACGAATTCAAATCTTTCCGGATTACATGAAAATTTTGCTTTTTATGGTTAGAATTTATTTGGCAAGGTTGTTTTCTACAGGATGGGGTTGCTGACCCCATGCCCTACTCTTAAACTTTACCATGACTTAGGATAGACAGTAACCCTGGAAGAGCTACAGAAGGAGTTGATATATTGATAACTTGAAGTGGAATCAAATTCACTGGTTTAATCATAACAAATGATAGAAAAGTACAAATTTTAAAATAATCATTCCCTAAGATACAAAGGTATACTTATCTTCAAACCAAATCAAAGCAAATGAAAAGTTATATACCATAATAATAATTATAAAAATATTTTAACGTACGATATTCGATCGTAAAAATTATTAACTGAAAAATACAAAAAGACTGTATTCTATATTTTCTTATTTCTATTACCTAAAACACTGTTGATGGAAGATGAAATTTGACTATAATTATATCATCAATGAAGGTAAACTCTTGGTAACCAGTTTGGCTCAACACATGAACTTCTATATTATGGAATATATGAGAAACTAGAAATTGACGTTACTGATATACTTTATTATTTCTAAGGTTATCGAATCATTTACGATTGTGTGAAATAAATGATTTGACCAAGAGATAAGTCATTTATGTATCACTGTTATACTATATATTGATGAATGTCAAAGACAGAATTTTCCATCTTGATTAATGTCACACTTGTGCAGTTTTATACAAATGATTAATTTTATTATATATTCTTATACTTGTAAACATTAATCAGTAGATATGAGAGAATATGGTAAATTATAATCTAACCCGTCGTACTACAGCTCAAATCCATGTCAAAATTAGAAACAAGTGGTTGGCTAGTTGAAGTTAGACATTCGTGCCGTTGGATACCGGCTCAGTGGTCTACACGTTAAGCGTTTTTGCGCGAGACAGAAGAACCTAGGTTCGAGTTCGGGGTGCAGGATCGTGGATGCTTCCTGCTGATGAGTGCCATACTAGGATGAAACGGCCGTTCAGTGCTTCCAGGTTTTCAATGGTGGTCTAACATTGATCTATTAATTATGTCAATCTAAACTCAACAGTTTTCACAACCTCATAGCAATGAATTATTCACTAGGTTATAATGGATAAAATGACTTCAATTTGTAGGCTGAGAACAATGAATAAAGTGCAGTTGAATTTTTACTCCACAAGTGAATTCAGAGAAACTAACTTCAGATTACTGTGAAATTTAGCTAGTGTTCTAACCCTTGATTTTACTTTTGTTTCCAACATCTTTAATCTATTGATCATATAATGTAGAAAAATTTCATTTTTTTCATTATTCTATAACTTCATTAAGTTTGTACAGTGCTATCATTTTAATGATATATGGTCTGTTAGTTGAAACCTTATTACTGATCACATTTTCCTTCAGCTCTGGCGATCATATGTATATAATTAACTAGAAATGAATTGTTGAGATGAAACGTAGTGAACAGCTTTTTTTGTACAGAATATTAGTTTCTTAGCACTTATGTCAATCATAACTTCTTACTTGTGATTAAAGCTTAAAACTTTAAGTCTGGTAAACAGCGATTGAATAAAATAAGAATAGCGTCCGTACTAAGTTGTATACTATCTTAAATATTATAAACAGCAATTCAATTTATTTTGTGTTTTCTAAACCTTTTTTTATTTTGTGAGGTTGAATGCTCAATATTGAATTACGATATTTTTTTAAACTTTCCTTTTTTATCCGTAGGAATGTTTCAAAAAGGACAACCGTTCATTTGAAACTGCCATGTCTTAAAATTTAAGATTATCATTAATTCAAATTCAGTTTTCAACGTAAAAACTGGACAATAATTAACAAGGTGTATTACAGTAATTGAAGTATCAAATAATTGTATTCTTTGACTAATCCATGACAAAAATACGTCGTTCTTTTGAATATCAGTCTACTAACTTATTTTTAATATATTTGATGTTAATACTTTATATTTTTTCTTCGAATACCAGTTTAATGGTTGGTATTTCCGGGTTCAAAAACAATAATAGAACTCCATTGTTTATGCGAAATGTATTACCAACTTATTTGGATTTTCTCCACTGTATCTTCTATCAATCCCATCATAATTATCATGACTATCATTTATGTTGGAATATCTATAGTGATGACTTAAAATCGTGTCATTTGGATGAGTATTTTGATTATATACACAAACTAAATAATTGTTGTAATAAGCCAACCAGTAAGTTCCCCATAAATTATTATTTTAAAGTTGTAGATGACTAAGTAATCGAGTTAGAAATAAGTTTTTTAAATTTGTATTTGTGCTTTGGATAACGGTTTGATAGAGCAATAAGTTATGAAATTATGTGCATATTGCCAGGATATGTATTTGTGAGTTGCTTGTTTGAAATATCGCATTTTTACGGTCATTGAAGGATTGAGAATTAGACATAGTGAACTATTATAAAGAGGAATAAGTTTTCACTAATTAAGACCTCTTAAATGTGTGCTTGCGTGACTTCACCTAAAGTCTAACCGTTGATAGCAAGATACTTCAATGGATTTCAAGAGACTATTAGTCCATTTTTATGACTTCATTTGGGACAAAACGCGGTCTACATATAATATATTAAGTGAACTACAATCCACCTAATTAGTCTTCATTTAAAGCTTGGTAAATCTGTTTCGATAGCTGTTAGTATGAACAAAATTTAAATTAATGGAAGTGATCTCAGCACTACGCTAGAGTGTTATACATATGTTCTTGTTTAAGATCGTGATTATTCACGCCTGCGGAGACATTAACTATTGGAGAAAGCTGTCTAATATTCTGTTTTTAGATGCACCTTCAAATGATAACAGTTTATGTTGAAAGACAACTCCAAAATACTGGAAACTCCAAGTAAAACCAAATCAGCTTATATATATGATTATGATGATTTTCGTTTAATGAACGTTTTCAGGTTACTAAATTCAAATTTCAACGCAACTAGTTAATTTAGTCAATACACGTGGACAAATAGGATACTTATTAGAGTTATTCCGCACCAACTACGGGTCATCAACTGTTGTCTTAGAAAAACAATATTAAAAATCATTAAATTATTACTGAGTACCCAAAAGGCTGTAGTCTATTTTTAAGTGCACTACATTTTACAAATGAATATAACGGTTAACTATCACAGAGCTAGTTAATTACTATATTTTTTTATTTTCGATAAATTATTTTGAATAAAGTTTTATATCTCTAGTATGATATCAGACCATCTGTTTAAGCTGACAAATCGGTAACGTTCACAACATCAGTCATAGGTTTGGAACAATAACTGACGTATAAAACTAGAAATTGAACTAATTGGTTGTTCTGATAAATTAAATGTGAAGCGCGGAATTTCCAAAACCATATATTAACAAAAATAGAGATGTACAACAAAAACTAGATCAAATTTTGTCTGTTATTATCATCATTATCGTATTCGTAATGATTTATTATAGTCGAATACAAAGCTGTTGAATAGTTCTATGACATTTGTGTCAAAAAATTTGTGACAAGCGTAGATTAATTTGTGAATTACATAACTCTCCTTTCGGTAGATGAGAACCATCTATCTCACTTCCTGGAAACGGGGTTATGCTTATTGGATGCTATCAATTACTTTTGTTTGATTTTTCGTCATCTAAAATCAGTTGAGTAGTTGATTAAAGAATGCAAATATTCAGTGATTCTATTCTTCATATATTTTTGGATCATCGTATAAAAGATACAGGATTAGAAATAATTATCACTCAGATTATTATTGTTATCATTGTCTCGTTCCAGTAACAAGGAAAGCCGATTGGTTTTTAGAAGTGCAAAGAAAAGGGCCTTTGTAAAGAAATGTGAAGCTGTAAAGAAAACAGTTAAAATACAGAATAGTATCTTTTAATCCAATCATGCTATTAAAACATACGGATATGTGTACAGTCTGTTTTTTATATGCATACAGACAGATTCACTACAGTCCAATTATATGTACGTACGGCAGGTGGGTTCAATCCGGTCTGCTGTAGGTGGGGCAGACGGAAACCGTACAGTTTGTCCCTAATACATTTGCATTTTACTACTATATTTGGAAACTTGTATGCATGTCGTAAGCGCTTCTGAGCTACTAATGGATACGCCAGTGAAGAACAAGGAACTCTCTCCCAAGTACGCTGTATATGTTAAAATGCACTTATCAGGGATGCGTACATTCCAATGATACACACACGGGCATAGATAGGCACGGTCACCAGTACGCAGTACATGGCATCATAGAATGTATAGATAAGTCTACATATTCCATGGGTACACATGTGTATAGAAGTTTCTGTTCATAGTTATACGTTACACTCATATAAAGATAGCACAAGCCGAGACCGATATACTCCATCGTATATATGAAACCAACCCAGTTCGTAGAGCGGCTGCTTTTAACACTGAATGAATATCAAATATTTTAATCAGTTTGTCAAGTAATCATGGACGATATGCTCCCTTACGCTCATGCCACAAACAAGTGAGGTATCGACCCCTGTGCACCAGTCACGGCACAGATTATGGTCCAAGCTCTTACCCACCCTCGCTAAACCTAATGGTTCTATCTGGAGAAAATCTGGACAAAGACCAAAAGTAAATTATCTCTGCCTCATAACTTCACATATATATCTCAACATTACTCCCTTTTCTGTGGGTCAATATTAAGACAGAGTTGGAGATCAGTCCGATCACCACCGTGAGGTTTTTGTTAGCTCATGGTAAAAAAGTCATCCACTAACTCGAGGACATTAGGCGAAAGTACAAGTTGAACTTTCAGATAAATATTTTTTTATATGCAAATCGGTTGGCCATCTGACAGAGATGAATTTTTCAAACTATGGAACTAAAATCATCTTGCCCCAAATGCCCAGGTACGGCTGAGAGTGGGGAGAGTCCGCCATCCCTCTCGAAATGCTCTCACATGGCCACGGTATATAGCTCTTCCAGGAAAATCCTACTCATCGCCTTCTCGCAGAGGGGGTGTTGTTTACGAAATTGAGAGGACGAAAAGCGAATGTCCGGTGTTTTAACCGGGTTGATGGACACAGAGCATCCACTTACAGAAGTTGGAAAACTCTGATTCCAAACCAATGGTGCACAAGGGCTCCAGTATCCTGCGGGAACAAATGGCGTATGAACCAATCGTTGGTCACCGCCTACCATGGGAATGCATCTCCTTACGTAGCTCCACTGCCTTGTGGATCAGACCTTCAGGTCGAAGGCTCCGGGTGTGGCCCCCTAAGAAACCACCTGCTTTGGTTTGGGCACCCGGGCAGTATCACAGCGCACACACAAATCGAGTGACTTATGTGACGCATATGTATTCCGTGCCTCCTTGTACCAATATCTATGTGTTAAAAATAGTAAATAAGAATATTATTTGGTCAAGTATTTTACAACGAAAATATAGTTGAAACGACATTATACTACATGAATTTCATCTCTTATATACAAAAACGCAATGTTTGTCATAAAACGTAATAATTATGTTACTGTTGATTTTCATAAATTGATAATTTCAAAGTGGTTTGTAAGTGATGTTGTTAATTACATTTCTAAATAGTACCAAAAAAACCACTGAATCTCCAAAGATGTTAACTGACATTTGTATTCATAGAAATAAACTCTATATCATTTGAGAAGAATCTTTCGGAACAATTAGAGATTATTACTGTTTATTTATTATTAGTATTATTATTTCACTATATTTATCATTATTTTTTAAAATATACATCTATTTTCAGTTAATCTTTATTCAAAAAATTATAAAAAATGGTTATCTAATATTCATAAACGAAAACAAAATCAAATAATTAAAAAAATTACAAATTCAAATAAAATTCAACAAAAATTAAAACAATTTCATAAATTTCATACATTTAAACAAGAATCTTTACAATATTCAAAATTTAATAAAATACATTTATACAAAAATCCGTTATTTCATTTAAAAAATAAAACTTTTATAAATATTCATAAATTAATTAAATCAAATCAAATTATTTTAACAAAATGGTTAAATCAATTAACATATTCAACAAATTTAACTAAAATTATTAATTTAACTGAACAATTAACACATTTAATATTAGATTTAGCTTATGAAAGAATGAAACTTATACTTTTATATGAATTTCGTCGTATATTAAAAAATGTATTTGATATAGAATCATTAAATGAAAATATTATACTAAATCTATGATATCTAAAGAATTATGGAATGATTTAATTTATAATAAACTTTATACAGAATATATTTTTGATGAATTAGATTTACCTATTTTATCAATCAAATCTGAATTAATACAATCAGTTTTCAATGAAATTGATTATAATGGTAAGAAATAAAATTTATTTTATTAGTAATTTAAAAGTAAAATGAATCTTAGATATTTGATTATCATTAAAATAATTCTGAAGTTTTTATATCATGCATAATTGTCCAGTTCAATGATAAACCTAAATAGTTGCATAACTGAAAAGAAAAAAACAGAGACAATAGTTATAAAAGGTAAGAAAACAAAAAAAGTCGATCACTAAAAAATGAAAGAGATTTAATTTTTACCCTGAGATTTGTACTTTCCTCTGTTTACCGAAATAATTCAATCGTTTGAATTAGTTTAGGTGGTGGAAAAGATTTGTGGCTCAGGTGGATGATCTTGATGAAGTTTCATCCGCTGATCTGAATGTTTAGGTTCTGGAGTTGTGATTGTTCTCCTGAACATTATCAGTACGAACTTCAGATAGAGATGAAGTGTTCAAATTTCCCACCTATGACTCAAAGCTTGTCCTGTCGACCTCGATCTTGATTGGTTATTACTGACCTTTAACTGTGGCAGCCTGTTTGAATATCTGGGCTACATGATCCTGACATCTAGATATTTCAACAACTTGTCTGTTCTTTTGTTTTTTTTAACACATCATTATGTTCATTAGTCGTGTAACCTATTCAGACGCGTATATAATATGTTTACGGTCTTTCGCTGTTCAAGTTATAAAAAAGTACAGTCAGTGACATCGTGTTGGCTGGCAATATCGATGGAAAAGAATGAACATTATTCAGATGCCGATCCCTAAACTACTAACATCTTACTGGCGATCAGTCAATATTTATCGTCAGAATCGATCAAGAAATAAGAACTAGACAGTAAGTTAGTGAAATTATTTAGGAAATATTTCCGTTCTCCTTATACACACTACACTTATAAACAATGATATCCCAATTCCTTTTATAAAATGAAATTATAAAAATTCATATATCTGAGTATCAAAGACAAAACAGTGATTTCTTGCTATACTTATGTATATCGAGGCGTATTAAAGTAATATATGCAATCTTCGGTTGAATCCTGTTCTATTACTTTTTATTTCATTCGTAAATTCCACCTATAGAGTGGAGAAATTTGTTCGTTCACTTTTGTCATGTGATTACTTATATCACAGAAATAGTAGTTCATTCAGGGATGTAGAAATATTTTGCTGGCCGCAAGAAATTATCACAAAACACTGGTTCAAGACTTCTTGTCTAGGACTTGAAAAGATTTTGTCCTTTCCAACTAGCATCAGGTAATAAATTATTTATTAATAAACTTTAAATATGAGTGAATACTAGTTGTATCAAACAATATAAAAGTACTCTTTGATTTATCATTCTTCTCCAGCAAACAATGATTAGGATTCAGAATATGTAATTCCGTTATTTGGTATTATCTTTCAAAAGTATAAATGAGGAAAAATATGCATCTTATGTGTGTAGGCTTATACTTCTTAGGATTATTTCATCTGATTATTACTTGTTTACGTCATTTTAACCCAGCAAGCTAAGATATTATAAATTTTTAGTTTACTGTATTCATGTCCTTTATCTTTGGAATCATTGAAAAGGAAACTGACCTTACTAATTACACGAACACTAAACATGTATCACCTTGGCAGCCTGCTTGAACATGTGGACTACCTGTTTCTGACATCAACATATCTCAACAGGTTACCTATCTTTCGTTTGTTTTAACACATCACTGTGGTACTTATTCACATAACCTATTTAGGCACGTTTATTAAAATTCTATAATCTTTCGCCGTACAACATACAAAAAAGTACAATCAGAGACATTGTGTTGGATGTCAATATGAATTGAAAAGAATGATCATTGTTCAGATTTCGATTCCTGAACTATCAACAACTAACTGGTGATAACTCAATATTTATCCTCAGAGTAGATGAAGGAATAAGGAGAGGAAACTTAATGAAATACTTTGTGCTGAGAATTCTATATTATACTAAAAATATGATATTGAATCAAGTCACTAATAATAATAAAAATGATAATAATGTTTTCATCACAAATTTCGGGTATGGAATTTGTTCAATTGCAAGTTATTTTGTTGTTTTTAATATTCCCAATACGTTTATGGAAAAATCCAAAGCTGTTGTAACATGAGGTTGATTTACCTAAAAGCATTTTGGGGAACTTTACGGCTCACTTAGTGAGGAATGCTACATGTAAAAGCATATTCTTTACTAAGAATCTTATTTCAAGCTCTAACTTTTACCTTATTTGTACTCTTCATCCGAGAGGGTTGGACGCACTACAATAGAGTGTCCAAGAAGATTTATATCGATAACTTTAGATGACTAAAATGAAGTCCTTAGTAAGAATCATTATCTTATATCCAACACTAACCAACAAAATACACAGAAACAAATGTTCAAAAATACTATATAATCCACTTTCATTGGATACTGAACAACGGATAGTTAACATCACACAAATATATGTTATCTAATAGTTTTTTCTAGGTAAAACAAGGTAAAATTACCTTTAAATCACATTTAGAATAAGAAATTAGTTATAATGAATCTCAGAAAACTTAACAATCTTATAAACGGTTTTTTATAACTTAGTTAACTATAGTTCCACATGACTCAATGCAATAATACGTATAGATTATTTGCACTGATGCAATCGATATTCAGTGTAAATTAATTTTAACTTATTTAGATTTATCACAGTGATATAAGCCCAAATTTATCATCTAGTTATTATTTACTTAAAATGCTTCTACAAAACCTTTAAATTGATTACAGAGTTATAATTAACCATTCAGTAAAATATGTTCCATCATTTGTAATTAATCACATTAAAATGAACAAGAGATCTATGCATATGAACGAATATAATTCCGTCAATGACTAAAAGGGAATTTATGAAATGGACACCCTAGTTTTAATCTCAGACGCTTATTATCAAATACTATATGCTATAATCCTGTCCAAAGAAGCACGAAATGCATTTGTAGGGTGAGAATCTTATGGGTCTAGAATCATCAAAGCATCATTCAAAACAAAGAAAGAGGGGATCACAATGAATGTTATCCAATGTCATGCACCCACTAATGATAGCAACGATTATAATAAAGATCATTTCTATGAGACTCTGCAATCAATCATAGTGTTGTGCCCAAGAAAGTATCTCACCATCCTGATAGGAACACCAAATGCAAAAGTCTGAATGCACAACACCGGATTCGAAGATATCATGGGACGACATGGACTGGGAGAGAGAAACTAAAATGGGAAAAGATTTGCAAATCTTTGTGCATTCAACAAATTGATTATAAGCGGCACAATATTCCCACAAAAACGCATACACAAAGCTGCATGGATCTCACCAGACCACACCACGGAGAACCAGATAGATCATATTTGTAACAATAAAAAAATTCCGAGGGACACTGGGAGACGTGAGAACCATGGGAGGAGCTGACGTAGCTTAAGATCAGCACCTAGTTGTGGCCAATTTAAAACTGAAGCTAAAGAAGAACTGGACAACTGAAAAAACAGCACTAAAAAGGTTCAATACAGCCTTCCTTCGAGACATTAACAAATTCAAATAATTCAAGATGGCTCTCAACCACAGGTTCCAAGCCTTACAAGATATACTGAAGGAATAAGCTACCATGGAGGACAACTGGAAAGTATCGAAGAAGCATTATCTTCATCATGTCAGGGATTCTAGGCCGCAAGAATCATCATCATAAGGAACAGATCTCTATAGAAACACTGGACAGGATCAAAGAAAGGAAGAACAAGACAGCAATTAACAACAGCCAAACACGAGCAAAGAAAGTCCAAGCACAAACTGAATACATAGAAGCAAACAAGCAACTGAAGAAAAGCATTAGAGCTGACAAGAAGAAATACGTGGAAGAACTAGCAACGACGGCGGAAAAGCTGCAAGGGAAGGAAATATGAAACAACTTTACGATACAATGAAGAAACTAGCAGGGAAATACAGTAAACCAGAGAGACCGGTCAAGGACAAAGAAAGAAAGACAATCACGGAGATTCAAGAACAGATGGGTAGAACACTTTGAGGAACTGCTGAATAGACCGGCTCTGTTGGATCCACCGGTCATCAAAGCAGCACACACAGACCTTCCTGTAGATGCCAATCGACCAACGCGGAAGAAATCAGAATGGCTATCACACAAATCAAGAGCTGGAAAGCAGCAGGACCCGGCAATATTCCACCTGAAGCACTGAAGTCAGAAATCTAAGTAACTACAAACATGCTTCACCTTCTATTCAAAAAGACTTGGGAGGAGGAACAAGTGCTAATGGACTGAAAAGAAGGACACCTCATCAAGATTCCAAAGAAAGGTAATCTGACCAATGTGAAAACTACAGAGGCATCACACTACTGTCAATACCAGGAAACGTTTTCAACAGGGTGTTGCTGAACCGGATGAAAGACGCAGTAGACACCCAACTTAAAGATCAACAGGCAGGATTCTGTAAGGATCAGTCATGTACAGACCGAATCGCAACACTACGGATCATCGTCGAACAATCAGTTGAGTGGAACTCCTTACTATACTTCAACTTCATTGACTATGGGAAGGCGATTGACTGTTCGGACAGGAGAACATTATGGAAATTTCTTTGAACTTATGGAGTTCCTGAGATTGTCAACATTATCAGGAACACATAAGACGAACTACAGGGCAAAGTCGTGCATGGAGGACAGCTGACAGCTGCATCCCAACTGAGGACCGGAGTCAGACAAGGCTGATTACTCTCCTTCTTCCTTTTTCTTCTGGTGGTCGACTGGATTATGAAGACCTCGATATCTGAGGGGAAACACGGAATACAATGGATATCTCGGAATCAGTTACACGATTTGGACTTCGCAGATGGCCTAGTCCTCCTATCCCATACACACAAACAAATGTAGATGAAGACAATTAGTGTTGGAGCAGCCTTTGCATCAGTAGGCCTCAACATACACAGGGGAAAAAGTAAGATTCTAAAATACAACACAGAGAACACCAACT